GAGTTCAAGGCCAGATTGGACATCCTAAGTAACTATCTAGTTTGATCTATTGCCACATTTCTGACTCTACAAACAAACAGACTGCACATGTAACTTCTAGCTTCTTATGAATGCAGACACTACCTCTTTGGATGTAAAAGAGCTATTAGATAGGTGGAAATTCAAGCGAAGAACAGCGGGGCCGATCTGATCCATGCTACAGAGTAAGTGAGAGGTCAGAGCATCCAACTTGGGCATTCAATCCAGGCTAATCTAGACATGAACATGTGTGTGTGCTCAAACGCACACATGTACACATGCCTGGGTTCCTGTGCGCACACATGCACAGAAAATATCTGAAGTGATTTCATCTTCAGTTTTGAGCTGGCAAAGTGACTCCAGTACACTCCATGTGGAGGATGACCTGTGGTCTAAGTGCATGAAGAGCACACTCAGAATGGCCTCAAGGGTATGGAACCCCCACTTGTGAGCAGCAGGTGTTCCTCTGTGTTCCTGCAGCTCGGTAGCCGTGTGTGCACTGCCTCCTGCCAGAGGCTCCCACGCCACAGGATCCCTGGCTATCCGTGTGAAGAATGTAATTATTCATCCCCAAATAAATTACCTCTGCACCTTTTATGACACAGCAGTAGATCAAGTCTCCAAGATTGTTCTACTTATTTAGAAAGAAAAAAGAAAACCCACAATTTCTAGTTCATCCTGGATCTTGGTTCAAAAGTTTTTAGATGGCTATCTTTAAATATTTTTATGCTAACAGATACAACTACTTCATTCTCTCTGCTATGCAAATTCATTCAAATAAAATGCAAATTGTGTGATAATTGTGTGCCAAAAAGTCCTGTTTTTCTCACAGATAGGACTGATACAGTTTCTTCCAAATAATGGCTTATGCATATTCCACAGAAGCTCCAAGCAGCCTTGAATATTGCTGTTAACCCCTTGACAACTCTAACAGAAATGAAAATGAAGCCGACTGAAATCTGTCCAGAAAGGGCCTGCTGGGTCTGCCTGCCTGACTGGCTGACACCATAGGTTATTTTCAAGCCCTCTATGGTATCTTGATGTCACCGTTCCTGTCAGCTGAACAACATGAGACACAGACTTGTTTATCGAGACTTTCACTTCCTTTCAAAACGCCAGCTCTTCAATGTGAGGGTCAGAAATTCTGCCATGGTTAGGGAAGAACAGTAAGCACTAATTGTGTGCTTTTCCCATCCTGGGGGGTTCTCACAGAAGCAGGGCTGATCACTACTATCCTTGCAGCAGCCGACCTGGGCGACTTCAGGAGGTGCTCTACACTGCCCAGCTGTGGTGGTTTAAGTGAGAGCGGCCCCCATAGACTGGTTTCCCAGCTGGTGGAACTGTTTGGAAAGGATTAAGGATATGACCTTGTTGGAGAGCATGTGTCACTGTGCGTGGGCTTTGAGATTTCAAACTCACGCCCTTCCCAAGGTCGATCTCTCTCTGCCTGCCACCTGTGATCACCATGTGAACCCTCAGCGTTCCTACCACCAAGCTTCTGCTCTGCCATCAGGGGCCCTATCCTTCTGCAATTATAAGCCCAAATCAAGCACTTTCTTTTATAAGTTGCCTGGGTCATGGTGTCTTATCATCATAATAAAAATGAACCTTAGACACAGGCCCTGAGTGCAGCTGGTTGTGGTGGGGTCTGATTTTGGTTGTGTTTTTCCTTTATCTTTGACTATAATAATGATTGCCCAATAATCTTTGGGATGGGGTTGCAAGAAGCGTCTTGCAGAATGACGCCTTTTAGTTTTAAAAATAAATCTATGCCAAGAGAATAAGAAAAAAGTACCTCTGTTTAGAATATGTAAATTTTCCTTTAAATTTTTCAAGAGTGATTTAAGCTACAGTTGATGTTGAAGTATACCTGGGTGTGAGGAGCAGAGATGGTTTAAAATCCTCATCGGCTGCTCCCCATCTTTTTGACTATAGGAACAAACTTCAGGATAATCCCTTTGGGTAGGAGATGGAATAATAGTATTTTTAACAGGCTTGTGAATGGGCACATGTGGGTATGGGTGTATCTCTGAACAGACACCATCACAGACAGGAGGTGAAGAATGGTACTTTTAATTATGTAAGGCTTAGGCCACAATACTTCAAAGAACACGGAAACAAACTCCAGGACCAGAGACAACATAAGGAATCCTATTCAGTTAACTACAAGACAATTTAAATATAATTTCAAGTTACAAGGGCAGTAAATTTGTAGGAGAAGCTGTAGCCACGCCTTCTTAGGGGTTGGCTACAGGTGTGCCTGACCAGGCTTGTGAGGGCGTGGTCAGAGTGACGTAGTGTGACTGCGTTTGCACTTTCGGTTTCGCTTTGCTTCTTGCTGTACAGGCTGTTGCCACGCCGGCTGGCTAGGTCACTCTGTAAGTAAGGCTTTTCCCTATTAAATACCCTTTTATTTCTACCTGACTCCGTATTGGTAATTTCCCACTATATAAATTGATTGAATGATTAAAGCCAGAGTAGAGATGTCCAGTGTGGACTAGAGCTTACCATGTAACCTGAGGTCCCCACTCTGCAATGAGTACCTTCCTACAGTCTACATGACTTTACTGGGCAACACGGCCTCACTTCTCAATATAGAATACTGTTAAATAGAAGTAAGGTTATAGGCTTTCTGCTCATACATGTTTCGATTTTTATTTACATTATAGATTTATTTAAATGCCTTGTAAATATGTAAACGTAAAAAATCCTAATCCTTAAATTTTTATCTCCTCTAAAATTAAACTACAAATGTTCATTCTTGTCAATCATTTCTGGATCTCTGGTATTGAGAAGCTTTTACACACCTCGCCTTTACTTATGGAAGTCCCTCTGTGTCATAACAAGTTTTACAACTAGACAAAAGTAGTTATCCAACCAAACAACACCACAACTCCTGAGTAGCCCCAAGCATTTGTGGGTTTGGGAGGTGGGGCAGTCTCTAATGCATTCGAATTTACTAACAATGTCCAGGTGTCTGCACTGTCATACATCTCCAGTGGGCCTTTCCCTCTCTGTGTCTTACTCATCTTTATTTTATATTCTAGTTTGTACAATACAATCTTGAAAAACTATTTGGTGGCTAGAACACATCAAGCATACTCATATTGATGATTAAACAACACAGATAAGGGCAGCAAGCAGGCTCTGTTTCTGACATACTGGGTTAGTAAAGGGTTTAGAGAAACTTCTAGAATGGGGAATCCATGCCCACTGAGATGCTGGCTTCTTCAGAATCCAGCCAGGAAACACAAGTCAGTGACACACCAGTGATGGCAGCAAGGCAGCTGGAAGAAGTGGAAAACAGGGGAGACACTGCTGGGCAGGGGGCTGCAAAAAGTTCAGGGAGCTCCAGCTCCATGGGAGGGCGTCTTCAGAGAGCTTCGAGGGAAGGACTAGCTGAAACTTTATGACTGAGCTGCACTGGAAGATGATGACTCAAGTTGTAAAGGAAGGGCTAAGAAAAACCTGTCACTTATAGAATTCCACACAGAAGGCAGAATACTATGTGAGATTCCTTGAGTATGTCAAATGGAACTCTGTGGCGGTGTAATTGTCTTACTGTCTTACACATAGGTAAGATTACACATTGGGGATGATAGCCACTGATGACCACTGAGCACTTGAAACATGGAGATGGTATTTTCATATTGCTTAATCTAAATTAATTTAAATTTAAACAGACTTATGGGGCTGGTAAACACCAGACTGGAATTTGCAGCTCAGAGTACACACACACACACACACACACACACACACTTTGCATACAAAGTACATACATAAGTGCACCTACACACCCATATACAAGGAACACACAGCCCAATGAAGATTGTAGCCACATCTGATAATGTCTGGAAAGTGGCTCCAACACCAACAGAGCTCTCTCCCAATCCAGACAACACTCCTGATTCTGCATCAGTCTCTTCCCTTCGCCAGCCTCTGTTTGACAGTCACTGATTTTCTCTTTCCCACAGAAAACACTGAGACGATTCAACAGACCCAGCTCTGCTCATGGCCTCCAAGACCCACTGATGTCCACAGGCAACCACGGTCTCTGCTGACACCTCATTCCTTTCTTTTCAATGGGCTGTCACATCCACACACAACACTTACACATAGGTGTGACGTGTTTACCACGGTATCTTCTAGGTACAACTTCATTAATTACCTTAGAACCACTGTGGGCACCGCCTTCTCAGATTGCCATCTCCTGATAAAGCAAGGGCTTTTCCCGTGGACGCATTTAAATTTCTGTTGCGTGAGCAAATGTTTTCTTGCTTCACATGTTACATGACTTATCCCTTTCTCTTTATACTTATTGTTGATGTTTGTATTAGGCAAATTTAATATTGGTTCTTTTCAGTTTTAATTTGTGTTCTCTTGCTAGATCATTAATATGAATGACTCATCTACCTACGCATAACTTTACAAACTACTGGGGACAGAAACAATAGGGAAGATTTATGAATTTATTTGCATTCATGTCTTTATAAGTACCATGTACTCTGCATCCTCTTAAACACCCCAAACCTTGAAAATAATTTCATTCTCATTTCATATTGTTTAATGGAATTGTCTCTTCTCCAAATGAATAAAAAAGGAGGGGGAATAAAAAGGAACTTAAAAGTTAATGGAAAACAGGAGGGAAAAGCAAAGAGCTCTTGGGATTTTCTACAAAGACTGAGTAGGTGTGGAGGTGGTTCACACGAGCAAGACAGGTGGGGTGAGCACATCAGGAAGAATGTGTTTTAGGGGAAAGCCTTGCACAGCAGACAGCCAGAGATTTCAAGTAGAAGTCTGCTTAGAAACGCTTCAGAAGCCCATGACACAAAAGGGCAGACGAGGGCAGATAGAAGGACCCATCAAGGAAGGGACAGTGATGGAGCAACAGACTCAGACTTATTTATGATGTTACATATAGCTGCTAGTCTGCATAATGCTCTCTTTCACCCCGAAAATGATTTAAGTAAGAAAATATTTACCTGTGGTGTCCTGCATAGCGTGGGCCACGAATATGGCCTATTCCTCGGCACCCAGGAGTAGGACATACAGCTTGACCTGGAAGGATTTTCACATCATTTGCCCCTTCAGGAAGTAAAAGAACATAGCTTGAAAACTCTTGTTGAAGAAGAATTGGAAAGCCTGAAATATGTAAATGATGTTAGCTGAGACTTTACAAATTAAAACAAATTGTCACCCTAAACACCGAGTACTATGACAGATCTTAAAAATGATGTGACTGAGCCCATGATGGCTATAATAGGTACCACCAAAGTGGCTAGCATCAGAGAGAGGAAAATGAACAGGCATTGCAGACCTTTCAAAAAGTCAGATGTGAGAATGTTCAGGTCTTTTTTTCTTACAGATTGGTAATGGCAAAGGCCACACAGCCACAAGCTGATGACTGAGTTCCATAAATGTCACGAGCAAGCCAGTGAGTGAGGATGCCGAGCCCAGAACCTTCTCCTAGCTAAGTCTTCAATGCAGCTGTGAAGAGCAGGCAAGGAAAAAAAATGACTTTGTGCTTCACCTCTTTCTCTTCCTTTCCCTCCTTGAGATAATGCTGTGCTGCATTTCAGGACTGCACTCAACTCACCAGGCCTGAGACGACTTAGGTGACACCCAAATGAGTCAGCTGCCTCTAAAGATGAGCAGGGCTAAATCTCCAAGCTCAGCTCTGTAATTGTGCTCCAATCTCCACCTGAGCACACACCCACAGACACACACACACTTACACCACACACACACAGACACACAGACACACCACACACCCACACCCACACACCACACCACACACACCCACCCCCACACACCCCACACTCACACACACCACACCACACACACCCACATGCACACACACACACACACACACACACACACACACCACCCACCCCCCCCCCCCCCCCCCCCCCCCCCCCCCCCCCCCCCCCCCCCCCCCCCCCCCACACCCCTACCTCATGGGATGCTCCAGCCCACACCCTTATACTAATCTAGGCAGTGTCTCTTTTCAACCCTATGCTTTCCTTCCCATCCCCAGCTCTCTGGCTTCTACGTCAGGCCCACCCTTGTCTGGATCAGCATTTCCTCATCTCCTAGCTCTAGTGTCTTCTGGATGCTGGGCAACGACATTGTCCCCATGGCCCTCTTCAGGAGGTACTTCTGGGTACCCGTGGGAGAGAAGTCAGTGCTGCTTGTCCTCCCAGTGTCACTCTCACTCCGAGACCTCCTGAGTCCCATCTTCCCAGATACTGTCACCAATCAGCTTCTGTTACCACGTCACTCCGGGAAGACTGACATCCAAATCACCGAGTTTCACTCTGTTTCCAACCACAGCTGGCCCGGGTAAGCTCGAAGGTCACTAGGACTTCTGTCCATGCGTCCAGCCCCACTACTCCATCACCGATGTCATCTCCAGGGTCTCCTTCCCTGAGCCACCTGGCCACACAGAGTGGACCGTGTTGGGAGTGCTTTGTCCCCCACTCACTGAAAGAGCAGTCCAGCTGATGACAAAAGCATGTCCCTTTAGCCTGCCCGCTCAGGAGTCCTGATGGCTGCTGCCATTTTCAACAGCAATGGATTTTCCAGACCATCCATTCCCCTCCCTCAGTCCCCTCTCGCCAGAAGCCACTCCCTCATCTAACCTAGGGTCTAGCTGCCATCCTTCGACATTCTGCTGCGAATAATCAAAGCTCCTTTACATTTTATCAGACCTCAATATGGGAAGGGGAACCTTGGGTCAACTCAGTCATTCTGTTCTCCAAATGTTTTACATAACTACTTTCTCCTGGGGGGTCAGGCATAGTGCTGACTGTGCAAAATCCTCCACTCTCCTCCAGGCTCTGGCTCAGCGGCTGAGCTTGCCTGCTGCCAACTGAGAAAACAGGGACCAGTGGACAGGAACTGCTCTCTCCCGCCTGTGTTCTCATGGCCATTAACAACCCCCGCCCCTTCCACTGCAATGCAGGGAGCATTTGCTTCTCCTCAAAGCAAATCCTTCACCATTCTGGTATGGATTCACTGCCCCATTCTGCAGGGTCTTTAGACTACCCCACTGAATAACTCAGCAATATTTAAATACAGTCCAGTTTTGTGCATCACATAAAGGAAAACAAAAGCAGAAGCAATAGACCTCACAGTCCTCGCTCCTTAGTGGCCGCTCACTTTCCCTTTCTCTGACACATGCCTCCAAGTGACCTCTGTTCCTCTCCATACGCTACTATTCGACCCACATTAACCTATCCTCCTTGGTCACGGATATCCTCAACACGGGAAACCCATTTAAATTCTAAATTAAACAATTGGTTTGATGTCTATTTATTTTGTTAGATTAGAGGCTGTGATCCTGAATTTGTTTTGCTACTGTGAAACCAATAGCTAGCCTGACACATAACTGGCCCTCAGTATGTGATTATAAATGTATGAGGGGGAGGGAACAACAAACTAGAGTTCTTCCTGTGAGTGCTTATAGGCTAGAAAAAAAGGCTTACCTGTAACCAGGAATTCACAGCACAGAATGATTATACTGTATGAAAATACTAAGCAAGGCTAGGGCCCAGTGCCTGGTAATATTTGGACAAATGTAAATATCCCATACATTTTCATTCTATTTGCCAGACAGTAGGAAGCTATTGCCTTAGATGCTTCTTGACTTTAAAACAACTTGAAGGACAAATAGAGAAACACAGGACCCTCCTCATCTATGGTTAGGCATAGCTCTGAGGTACACATACGCTTGCTTAGTTCTTGCCTCAAGGCCTCCAAGGTTCAATCCCTAATAAACTGCTCCCTAGAAACAGTTCTGAAAAACAAAACAATAAAAACTAACTTTTGAAAAAAAAAAACACAGAGGGTCTGATATTCAAACATTAATTAAAAATTAAGTCCTTAATTAAGAAATGTGTTTCTACCATATTTAGTAAACAAAGGGATCGTTTAACTTATCATAGTAAGTAGGCCAGAGGACAAACAATGAGAATACCCACAAGACTTCTTTCCATCCTTGTGCTATCTCAGAGGTCGAAGCCAAGCAGACAGAAAGCATCTCCACCATCCCAGAGGCAGCTCGGTGGGTAATGCACCATGTATGGGAAATGTTACTTAATATTATTTTTCTGTGATATTTTAATACCCTGCATTAAGTTATAGCTTAGAGAGATATTTTTAATAGCTGCCCAGACATTTTTGTGAGGGCTGAAAGTGGAGGCATTGCCTGGAAGATTGGGAAGAGGGGTTATCACTTTAAGAACACAGCTGAAGACAAAACAAAGACAGAGTAAAGGAGAACATGAAACAGAAATGCATTGAACCTACTGAGCTCTGAGTGACAAAGGGGAGGTGGTCAACCCAGTGGAGAATTAGACAGAGTCATCCATCTGTTGGGGGAAAATAACCTGCAAGTTCTGTAACAATTTTCATCACTGACTCCACGAAAAAGGTACTTATGATCAAGTTAGTGTGGTTCTCCCCATAAAATATATATTTTTTTTTTTTGCCAAGAGTATCTTACTGGTAATTGGATATTTAGAAATACAAGTCTTGAGAAAAAAAGTTTTCTTTGCTCCAGGGAGGTGGCCCCAAACCCTGTCACCCTTTCATCCAATAACCTGTTTGCCTGGCACCCCTCCTGGCTCCATTGTTACAGTGAGACTCTCCATACCTAACTTGCTACTAGCGTGTCTCTGGCAGCCATTCACACAGTGGCTGATACATGGTGGCTATGCAGCAGGTGTGTGTCTTATGAATAAATACTTAGGATAACAACTGCGATGACTGCCTGCGTTGCTGTTGGGGTAGTATTCGCCACAGTGCCGTGAATAATCACTACTTCACACTCAGTTCAGGTCAGGCATCTAAAGCCAGTCTCTGACTCCCTAAGGAGCCACTTGCCATGCCACGCAACATGATTAGCTTGTGGTTTACTGTAATTCAAAGGTGCAAAGTTTCCTTGGGCAAGAGTAAGCTGAAGTGTCAGGGTACTTTTGCAAAGATGAACAGAAAACATTTGTATAAAACTGAAAACTTCCTAATGATTGGATAAACCTGCATCCTTCAGAATGGGACCCCAAGTCTCAGGGACCCTGCTGTCACTACGACGCTCAGGCTGCCTACCCCATATCCACACTCCCCCTTTTTGATAACTTTATTCAAGAAAGCCATGTGCCCATCTAAAAGGGGGCACACCCTTTTGGATTTCCTATATGCACACATGGTCATTTGTCATTTTTGTCACAGGACGACCTACACGAAGGGTAAAAGAGAGGCTGCCATTACTTTCCTGTAGGAAGATGTGAACTCCCAGAGGTTATAAACCCAAGGGCAAAAGCAAAAGCATTGAAGTAGGAGGACACAACACAACTTTGACCCAGAATATTGACAACCTTGGACCTACTACCAGAGATCAAATATAGAGTACAAAAAGCCCTCTTTGAATAAAACCTCTGTAAACAGATTCTGCAGTTCAAGCCAATGAAAAAACATGAAGTTAAAGTAGCAATTCTGGTGTTTTCCTTCCTCTGTTAAAACCCAGCAATTTCCCTTTTTACAAAAAAAAAAAAAAATAGTCAGATCTATTACCACGGAAACATGATGTGATGGAAGCAACCAAAGCAGAATCAAGCATCAAGAGATTGTACTGGATCCTAGGAAGTGGGAAAGGGAGATGTCCTTCATTTCCAAATGCCCTTCTTGGTGTCTGTGTGATATAATAATCTACTGTGATATAATCCACTGTGATACAATCTACTGTAAAAAGGCTGGGCTTTGCAACCAGAGACTTCAGCCATCCTCCCCACACCCCAAAAGTGGTCACAGATTCCTTTCAGAAGGTCACTTGCTTAGGTATACAGAAAACCCAGGACAGAGTGGCAGTGTTAACTCTGATGAAGACACATGCACATTGGTCCAGACAGAGGTTGGCCAGCATCGGAGAATAAGGACCAGGCTGCAGAATCAGTATCCTTACATCACCACCAATGACTCACAGCTGAAAATGTGTGCACTTGACCTAATTCCTTTAGCAACTTTTGGTAAAAGCACAGCATCAGTACTCAGAGGTAACACCCAGTAGAGGATACAAAAACACTGCT